GTCATCGATGTTTCTAACTCTCTATCCCTCTCCCTTCCTCTCTGTAAAAAATCAATAAAATATTTTTTTTTAAAAAAAAAGAAGAACACTGAATTCTAGTCCTGGCTTTTTACAGCTGAGTTCACATCTTACTATAAATTCATGTGATTGGATTCCAAGGAGTCTTGGTTAGAGCTAGTGAGGTTGATAATTGCTCTACAGAAAAGTCCTATCAGTTTCATCTGGAAGTTTGTCATCTGAGTGTATACTTAAGAACTACCTACAACTATCTCTTATACTATTAGGATTATTATAATACTCTATTTTTAAAAATAATTTTATTGATTTAAAAGAGGAAGGGAGAGGGAGAGAGATAGAAACATCAATGATGACAGAGACTCATTGATCGGCTACCTCCTGCATGCCCCACACTGGGAATCGAGCCGGCAACCTGGGCAGGTGCCTTGACCTGGAATTGAACCATGACCTCCTGGTTCATAGGTCGATGCTCAACCATTGAGCCACATCTGCTTGGCACAATACTCTATTTTTGCAAGTTCTTATACCTCAGATTAACTGTTTTGTGGCACTTGCTAGGCAAGTGACTGTATAACATTCTAAGTATTTTTGTTTGGTTGGTTTTTGAGAATATGTTTATTAAAGCTGGGGACAGTGAAACAAGGAAGGGCTTAGGATAGAAGAAGCAACAGGAGAGAGCCTAGGCAGCGGTGCTTTGGCTCACTGGGAAGTCAGAGAAAAGGGGGCCTTGGAGACAGGTAGAGGAAGGTTAGCCCAAGACGAGGTTAGCTGTCCATTGCTCCCCTGGTTGCAAGTCTCATGGGGTCTCTTAGAGTTTAGGAGATGCACACCTGTGGGGAAAGTAAAGGAGGAAGAGTAAGGCTTGAGCATGCTCCCAGGAGGAGAAGCATGCCTTCTAACTTTTTAACTTTAATGGGTAATAGTAAAGGAATATTTTGGTATGCAGCCATTTCTTGGTTTTCCTATTTTTAATGTAATGCCACCTGGTAGAATGCATCAGTTTGTCAGTTTTCACACTATTTTATTTTCTCCTCCAGTAGGTTGTGGACAATGTGTTTCATAACTCAAATAGTGTTAATGCTTAACTAAATACAACTTTTATAAACTGAGCCATATGTGGGATGAGAAGTTCAAATATTGCACTAAAACAAAGCAAAAATATTTCCAATTATTCATCATTTGGTAAACTTTTAACAACATTAGCTTTGAAAAATGAAAAAAAAATTCTAAAATTGGAAT